CATCCATTGATAGACACTTGGGTTGCTTCCACCTTTTGGCTGTTGTGAGTAGTGCTGCTGTGAGCATGGTGTACAAATATCTCTTTGAGACTCTGCTTGCAACTCTTTTGGCTATATACTCAGAAGTGGAACTGCAAGATCATACGGTAATTCTACTTTAATTTTTTGAGGAACTGCCATGATGTTTTCTACAGCAGCTGCACCATTTTACAGTCCCACCATAAGGATTCCAATTTCCTCACATTCTAACCAACACTTATTTTCTGTTTTTTTTTAATATAATAGTCATATCAATGGGTGTAAGGTGATATCTCATAGTCCTTCGATTTGCATTTCTAGAAAATGCAATTTTTTATGATGTAAGTTTACACTTTCAAGGCAATATCAGAAATAATATTTGTACAACTCAGCACAGAGATAACTATTGGGAACACAACAGAAACGTGTAGCTAAATTCTTCACAGACTTGCTATTCATGTTCAAATGCTGGAGCACAGTCTACATATCTATATTAGGCAAACTCCAGGAACTTAAAATGTAATAGTGGGACAAGACAGAACAAACACACGCCTAAGAAACAAACATCTAAGAGAAAAGAGGGTGCCCCAGCAGCCCATAAATAGTTAGAAGCTGAGTGACCAGTGAGGTGGGGAAGGCATGCTGGATCATTAATACAAAAAGGGGTTCTTAGTGGAAAGCAAATCATAAAATATTAAAGTGGGGATCAGCCTTAGAAATTGTCTTCTCCAATTCTATTTTTTGCAGGTGGGGAAAATGAGGCTCACCCAAAGTGAAGTGATTTTTCCCAGGATTATACAGTGCATTTGTGAAAGCGCTGGCCTTGCAATCCTGGCTCCCTGAGTTCCAAGGTTGACTATCCGCCCCTTCAGGAGGTTACAAAATAGGTTCAGAAAGTCACAAAAATAAACATGCCTAAGTGAGAACCAGCGACTTCCCCGGTGGTCCAGTGGCTAAGGCTTTGCACTCCCAATGCAAGTGGCCCAGGTTCAACCCCTGGTTAGGGAACTAGATCCCACATGCCGCAACCAAGAGTTCGCATGCTGCAACTAAAGATCCCACATGCTGCAATGAAGACTGAAGATCCTGTGTGCTGCAACTAAGACCTGGTGCAGTTAAATAAATAAACAAATAAATAATTTTTTTAAAAAATCAGTGATGGAATTAAAAAAAAAAAAAAAAAAGTGAGAACCAGATCTTGTTTTGGACCACTTCATTGCTCGTACCTGGGGTTACAGGAGCTACCTGGGGTTGACCAGTCACAACTGAAATTAGACTGTAGTGCAGCAGCTGATTACTAAAGACTGAAGTCCTAACCCCAGACAGTGTCCATCCTTCCCTCAAAGCCACAGCTCTACTGGTGCAAGCTCAGCCTTGGGTCCTCTTTGTCTCCCTGGTGAATTTTACAATCAAGGCAAGTTCATCTATTTAACATCATATCTTCTTTGGTCCCATTACCAGTGTTTAGCTGCTTTCTTTCCTAAAAATTATGAGTGGTGCTAAGGCCCAATACTCAACTATAATTTGCTTCCTCTGTAATTTATATTATGCTGCAGTAAAACGACATAAGCATCTCAATTTTTCATTCTGATGAAAGAGCTGGAGACTCTAAGCAGAGATATTTGAGCTGCCTATTAACACTGCAGTTTGGCATCATTTCAAGTTTTAAAGCTTAGATTTAATTTCCTAATTTTTAGAAATAAATCCAACATACATACCATAAAATAAGCATTTACACCTACATACACCACAGAACGACGACTAAGAAAACACACAGATGACCAAAAGCACATGAAAAGATACTCAACGTCACTAATTATTAGAGAAATACAAATCAAAACTACAATGAGGTATCACCTCATACCGGTCAGAATGGCCATCATCAAAAAGTCTACAAACAAGAAATGCTGGAGAGGGCATGGAGAAAAGGGAACCATCCTACACTGTTGGGGAGAATGTAAATTGGTACAACCACTATGGAGAATAGTATGGAGGTTCCTTGAAAAACTAAAAATAGAACTCCCATATGACCCAGCAATCCCACTCCTGGGCATATACCCTGAGAAAACCATAATTCAAAAAGATACATGCACCCCAATGTTCATTGCCGCACTATTTACAATAGCCAGGACATGGAAGCAACCTAAATGTCCATTGACAGAGGAATGGATAAAGATGTGGTACATATATAAAATGGAATATTACTCAGTCATAAAAAAGAATGAAATACTACCATTTGCAGCAACATGGATGGACCTAGAGATGATCATACTAAGAGTAGTAAGTCAGACAGAAAGATAAATATCACATGATATCACTCATATGTGGAATCTAATTTTTAAAAATGATACAAATGAACTTATTTACAAAACAGAAACTCACAGATTTCAAAAACAAACTTATGGTTACCAAAGGGGAAACGTTGTGGGAAGGGATAAATTAGGATCTTGAGATTAACATACACACACTATAAAACAGATAACCAACAAGGACCGACCATATAGCACAGGGAACTCTACTCAATACTCTGTAATAACCTATCTGGGTAAAGAACCTGAAAAAGAATGAATATATGTATATGTATAACTGAATCACTTTCCTGTACACCTGAAACTAAAACAACACTGTAAATTGACTATACTCCAATAAAAAAAAAAAGTATCTAAGTTTTCTTCCCACTCAGAAAGGGAAAGACAGTAATTGACAGAAAGGGGAAGACAGTAACTGATTTCTGGAGACTACTGCTCACAATCATCATGAGTTACCCTAAACTGGTGTTTGGCAAGCATGCCAAATGGTCATTCTAGAAAGCTAGAGTCAAGAAATCTGGTGTAGGTCTTGCTATTAATTAAAATGCTCTACTCAATGATTTCACCTAAGTGTCTTTGCCCCTTAACTTCCAGCATATGAAAAATGGGTATAATAATAAGCTTTTGGAACCAGAACATTTTTCTCCTAAGAATTATATTTTCTTTCATTCATATTGCTTTAATGTTCATACATATATTCTACAATGCAAATTACTTTTCCAAATTATGGATCAGTCCATATGCATCATGCAAAATGTTCAAATCTCTATTACTTCCACTAAGATACTCATTCTACTTTCGAATCTTTCTGCATTTTTACATTAATATGAATAAAGTAAATAGTATTTCTACAAGCCTCATATTTTAAAAATATATTTCTTTGGGGATGTTATGTAACATGAAATAATTATATATCAATGTAGTACTTTTCCAGTTATTTTTATGTAACACCGAGATAAGGTTTTTGCACAAAAGACTGGTTTTACTGAAATAAATTTTACATGAGCTATGGACAGTCAATTTATGCAAAAGCCCTCATTTCCCCCCTTTTCAGATATATTTTCCATTTGGCTGTATGTAACATATACTGTAGCATGAAATCAAATTCCAAAATCATTCACGTAGTACAACTAATAAATTTGCATTACATTTGTAAAGTGTTATAAAGAAAAATACAATTGTTTGAGGTTCAGTTAAAGTGACTTCTCATTTTCCTACTCTTTCCATCTCTTAACCTACTTCTCAGAGTTTGTCTTTAACTTGAAGCAGTACTCTACTGAAGCATTTCTATGCGGCTTTAGACTGTTCTGCCTGCTTTATGTCTGTTGAGGATAAAATATTTAGAGTTATGATTAAACCTATTAAGACAAAATATTGGGTGTCTATTAACCCCTCTGGGGGTAGACGGGTTCTTCAGATAAGAAAATAAAAATCACTCTTCATTTCTAGCCCAGATTAACTTCTGAAAAACCCAAATGGCTCGACTATGTTGTACAATATGGTAGCTACATTTGGCTATTTAAATTTAAATGTAATTAAAAATTTAGTTCTTCAGTCACACCAGACACTGTTCAAGAGCTCAAGAAGCACATGCATCTGGTGGTTACTAAATTAGACAGCACAGATGCAGAACATTTCCTTCACTGCATGAAGTTCTGCTGGACACCACTGGGCTTAGGAGTCGATTCATATATAAATATATGTGAAGATATGCATTTTTTCCATCTTAGTCACAAAACCTACTTGTTTAAACTTAGCTTCAACACATTCACAATCCTGTTTATTTTAGCCCAAGATAATAGAATAAAAATAGATATTTGTACAATTTCTCCAAATCCTACAATGTGATATCAAAGTTCAAAGCCCTGTAATGAATACCTTCTTTGCCAATGTAAACCCAGTCTCCTGAGCTCCCTCTGGACCGCAGCGTCTTGGCCACAGGCAGAGTTCTCCTGTGGTACCTGCAGGGAAGGCTTGCTAGGGACTCGTCATCAGTGTGGACTAGTCATTCCCACTACTTATATGGCCACCTTGGAGGACAGGTCCCTGGAGGCAAGGCCTCTGCTCTGTGCTCTGCCAGGTGCCCCAGGACCCCCAAGGGGCCCACTCAAGGCAGGCTGACCACCCATGCAGGCCACGCAAGGCTTCCCAAGATCCCCAAGGGGCCCACTCAAGGCAGGCTGACCACCCACGCAGGCCACGCAAGGTTTACCAGGACCCCCAAGGGGCCCACTCAAGGCAGGCTGACCATCCATGCAGGCCACGCAACGCTTCCCAGGACCCCCAAGGGGCCCACTCAAGGCAGTCTGACCATCCATGCAGGCCATGCAAGGCTTCCCAGGACCAGCCAGGCCCACACTTGCTCCACTAGGGACACCAGCACACCATCTAAGCCCCATGCCTGGGCAGACAATCCAGCCCTTCTTTCTGCCCTCAAGGTCCAGATTATACCTAAAGTCTTTCCTGAAAGCCTACACTTGTAAAATATAACTTAAAACATGAAAACAGCCATTTGTATAAACCCAAGGAAAACTGTCCTCAGTAAAAGAAATAATGCATTAAAACTTTCAAAATAACAAAATAAAATAAAGTCTCATCTGACTAGTCCAGTATAAATACTCTTCTCACCATCACTTTATCTCCAGATTCCTGAAAACAATGCAATCAACTTCAAAATTTGGTCTTTAAGTGATAATTTTAAAAAAATATAACACATTTTCTAAAATATTAAATGTGCATTATTTGGAAACAAGTGTATGCAAATGAACCTTTCAATATCAATATATAAACCCATTTATCAATTCTCCAGTCCACAGAGAGAGGTACTCACATATTTGAAATTTGAAAATCATCTTTCCTAACAACTATGACCATGGTTTCTAGACTTTGTCTTTAAGCACAAGCCATTATTCCTCTATGACATGACCCACAACAGGAAGATTTACAGCTCCACAAGTCAGGAAAATTCTGTAGTCTTCTGATGGATGGCATCAAAGCTGAAGGCTGAAAGATACTTTAGTGGCACAGCTGGGAACAGATTCTGTAACAAAAAGAAAATATACACTCAACCATTCCCCATTTTATTATGAAGTGTAACTATGGCAAAACACAAATTATTGCCACTTCATACTTCAAGTATAGAGATAAATGCATTTATTACCACTAAGTCAACCACTGCAAATGTATAGTCTGGCGTTAGAGATATTTAGATCTAAGAAGAATGCATTACTATTAACTCTCATTCTTTTGCAATCTTTCCAACCAACTCACACAGCTACATCAACATCTTGGAAACTGTATGATCCTAAAATGATAGAAGTTGACAAAACAGAAATAGATGGCCAAGGATTTGGGACTGGGGATGCCAGGTGGAAGGGAATACGGTTTACAAGAGAAGTTTGAGCTATTCCTAAATGAAGCACCATCTTACTAATAACCCTTTTATCATTCTTACTCTTCCAACTGGTTACTCCCCACTCTCTCTCTCTCTCTTCACAGCCAATTTTTGTCAGGGTATAGTCTATACCAATGGTTCTCAGGGTGTGTTTCTCAGACTCAAGGCATCAGTATCACCTGGGAACTTGTTAGAAATGTATTTTCTCAGGCCCCACACAAACCTGATGACTCAAAGACTCTGAGAGTGGGGCCTGCTGCTGATTCTCATGTGCACTAAAGCTTGAGAACCAGCAAGGGGCTTCACTTCCTCATCATTCTTGAATCGTATCAGGTTGGATGTCCATGTAGACTCACTAAATCTACTTTTTTTCCTTAGAGTGATGAACTCTCTAACTCAGACATTAGTCTTATGGGGAAGGAGGAAAAAGAGAGAAGACAACATGATGAAGAAAAAAGAAACAAACTTAAAAAAATTCAAAGCCTATGTCCAGCATAGGTTGAACTATTAAGAAATCACCATTTTCGTAAGTCAAAACCAGCTGAATATTGGCAATATCATTTAGTTCAACCTACTATGAATATGTGAAGGATAGAATTATGATAATTATTTAGAAATAAATGAATGGAATCAAAATCTATCATTACTAAAGTTAACTTTGAAAATCACATTATTTTATTGTTGGCCACATAGATCAAAAGATTAATACTTATTTTCTCTAATTTGTTCTTGCATTTTTACATAATATCACTATAATACAATTATGAAGAAATGAATAAAATACAAGAAGGTTTTTCACAAGAGGAAAGTTATATGACCCAAAGATAAATTTTGATAAAGAAATGGTTCTGTTATTTCAGTTTCACGTTTAACATAAATTTCTAATTTATTTCATAATATTTCAGCATGCAAAATTAGGGATGGACAAACAGATTAGAGGTAACTATATAGAAATTTTCTTAATCTAATTGAAAACCTTTTAATTTGCCAATAAATGGTATTTTTCATTAATGTGATGAGACATGCATGTTTTCTGAGTGTGACTGATGGAAACTGCCCCCAAGTGCTTGTCTTCAAAGTCTTGGGGGCCAGGGCTACCTCCTCCCTAAACCCATATGCGTGACATCTTTCTTTCAGGTCGGCACCCGGCTTATCAGAAAAAGAGACCTGAAAAATTCAGGGGTAACTTGCAGGCATCCACACCCAGAAAAGAAGTGGGGATTAGAAGAACAAAGGCTGATTTATGCCTTTTCCTGTGTCTAGATGTGACAGAAGGAAGGGGTTCTAAGGCTTCTGAAACACTTCGGAAACAGCCGCTGGGGAAAACAATTCTTCCTCAGCCCTTTCCTGAGGTACTGTGACCGCCCTGTTTCTCTGTATCTTCACCACCCTATGGGAAACCAAAACTAAATGCATCTACTTACTAATCTGCCATCTTGTTTTTTCCTTTTGTGATTTTTACAGAGGTGTACCTTGATTTATACGAGATGACTTTTTTTTAAGTTGAATTTAAATGGATTTTGACATGGAATCTTCTTTTTCCATTAACTAGAATACTGTTTTATCAATATCATTTCATTGAAAAGCCATGTAAAGTTAGTAACACAATCTTCACATTTTAAGTGCTTGTTTCCCAGCCTCTCTGTCACATGGTTGTAGATGTATTAAGCATGCTAATGCACTAGGAAATTTTCATTATTTAAGGAAAGGCAATGTATCTTTTTTTTTTTTTTGGTAAATAGAAAAATAATTTACAAATTATTTTTATTTATTGGTTATTGTCCCTAACCAGTTAACTTTTTTTTTTTTTTTTTTTTTTTTTGCGGTATGCGGGCCTCTCACTGTTGTGGCCTCTCCCGTTGCGGAGCACAGGCTCCAGACACGTAGGCTCAGTGGCCATGGCTCACGGGCCCAGCCGCTCTGCGGCATGTGGGATCTTCCCGGACCGGGGCACGAACCCGTGTCCCCTGCATCGGCAGGCGGACTCTCAACCACTGTGCCACCAGGGAAGCCCCCAATTAACTTTTGGTCAGTTTGACTTATAGCAATAAATGTGTTGCATGAGTGAATGGAATACTATACACTCATTTTAAGTAATTCTGAATATGAGTAACCTACCTCTTTCTTTAAGATCTTCAATATAGGCTTTCAGAAATTCTTTATCAAAATGTTGGCGATCTTGTTCACTTTCCATCGTTTCATCTTGACACTGGGTATTCTCAATAGGATTGTCTATAAGACTTACAAATCTATTCAAGAGAGTATGGAAAACATCACATTTTCACGTATGTGTTTGTATCGTGCAAAAATCCTCTCAGAAGAAGTCAAACTTTGTGGCGTTAAATCCCAAGTTCTCACTTCTTCTTAGAAGTCACAGCTAACCACATAATATGTGTCACCAGTGGAATTCTACTGTGCAATAATCCAACAGGATTATGGAGTCAGTTTACAGCAGAGACTGTACAGAGGCTTGATGGGGAAATGACAGTTACTTAGCCACAGACAGAGGACAGCGGGCAGGAAGGTGAACATGAGGTGAACATGAGGTGAACAATAACATTTAGTCTCCCCGTCTTACTACGTTTGTTTGATAGTACTCCCAGTTAGTGACATCAAGCTCTAAAATGATGTGGCTACATTGAAAAGGACTCATAAAATCACCACCAAGAAGGTATTTAAAAGATGGACGACTGTGACAAAAAAAGAAGCTAAAGGAGACAATCCAAAATGGCATTTGATCTAATTTCTTCACAATTTTGAAAGATTCAACAGCCACTGACCCATCCAGGCCAGCGGTGATGGGAGTGCTGAGTATCCGACCAGGGAGCCCTGGTGCCTTCAACCAGCAGGTAGCATTTGTCCAGAAATCTTCTGAGCTCTACCTCCCCATGCCATTGGCCAAAACCTACAAAATCCTGTAAGAAGGCACCAGAACTTCTTGTTCTCAGAGTACAAGAACCATCTAATCTGGTTCCTGAGACAGGTACACAGGCTCCAGGTGCTTCTTGCTCTTCCCTTGTGTCTGAATGGGTCTCTACTGGGCTCTCTGTCTACTCACTTTAAAGGTGTGGATGAGTCACTAAGGGCTGTCGGGAGCTCCACCAAGTGGTCCCCGCTGACGACTAACAAGGTGAGCTTCTTTAAGTTAAGCAAGGCAAAGGGAAGATAGGTCAGCTTGTTCTTATACAGGAGAAAGGTCTGCAGTTCTCGTAGCCTAAGAAGATGTAAAAGGGATTAGAACACAAGGACTTAGCCTCATAGCAAGAAAACCAAAGTGAATTATAAATAAATTCTAGTAGGAAATCCCTAGTTAGTTTATTTTTTTAAGTGACTCATAAGAATAAACTAACTTTATATAAAAAAAAAAGAATAAACTAACTTTACAATTTAAATGAATAAAGTCATGCCAGGTGACATGATCTGGGTTTCTTTTTAAGTTTTTACTGACTTAATTGACAGTTGAAGGCAGAGATATAGCAGCAGGATAAGCAAATTACACAATATACAGTAGGCCAAGATGGAACTTAAAAAATCAATATATTCAAGTGTCTACTGCATTCCCAAGGGTTAACAAGTCATGGGAAAGAAATCATATTAGAGTTGGAGTGAGAGTAAACAAATTTTGGCAACGTATTTCCTTTTGTATGTCTTGAAAACACAGTTACTCTTCTTTCATCATATTCTGACTTTAAAACAGGAATAAACCTGCAGAGTGAAAAGGAAATGAGAAAAATATGCTCCAAATATGTTTTACTCTGTTTTCTATTTTGTTCTAACTCAGTGCCCCTCTCTCTAGTTTTTTCTTTCATTCATTTGCAAAAGTTTGACTGATCCCACAAAATATTTCACAAAATTCCCCTTGTGTTTCAAACTAAAACAATTCCCACTTAGCCTCATAAACCAGGAAAGTATCCATACACATCATATGTACCAGGAGTAGAGAAAGGTCATATGAGATAGCATTTGGGAACAAGCCATTTTCGGTTCCTATGTCCCAATAGCTTACTTATGCTACTTTATAACGAAGACTGTGGATTCCAGGAGGCCAGACAGTTTGTTTCATTTACCACTTTGAACCCAGCCCACTCTCTGGGCCTGCCTAGTAATATTGGTAGAATGAATGAATGAAGGAATCTTACATGATTTAGTATAATAGTTACTTTTTAAACAAGAAATAGCTGTAAGGATATAATTTGAAGACATTACTAAGCATATCAATCAAAGCAGTAAATGAAACTAATAAAATTTATCCTGATATCCCAAATAGAATAATATGTTTTGATTCTGTACATAATAAATTTACTTTTCTACATCTGGGGAGGAAAGGAAAGTTAACGGTTCCATTCTATTGAGAACTAAAGTAAATTAAAGATGTGTTCAAACTATATATATACATACATATATATATATGTATATAAATATACATATACACACACACATATATGTGTGTGTGTGTGTATATATGTGTGTATATATATATATATATATATACAGTTGACCCTTGACCAACACAGGTCTGAACTGTGCGGGTCCACACATTACAGTACTGCCTGGGTCCATGGTTGGTTGAATTCACAGATGCAGAGGAGCCCCAAATACGGAGGCTGACTAGAAATTACATGCAGGTTAACCACCTCGTTGTTCAAGGGTCAACTGTACATGTATATGTATGGTGCAGACTGGGAATTGTCTTATTCTATAAAGAATCAAACTGATTTCCTGGAAACAAGAAACTCTGGAAAATTAGTTGATCTCAGAGAACATTCACGTGTTACGCATGTTTAAAATGTTAGTGACTAATTCATATACCTCACCTTCAGAATGCAAGTAGCTACCTGTCTATGTCTTGTGGCAGGTCACTCAGGTTATTGTTGCTGATATCCAACCACTGCAAATTAGACATCCGCAGGACACAGATCGGGACACTGGAAAACTTGTTTGCTGAGATATCTACGAATGAAACTTGCTTCAAATTACTTAACTAGGAAGGAATAACAAAATATTCTAATTACTTTTTAAGAGTGGGAATTAAGTTCAACTAATAATTTTGAGATTGATGTCTCTTCCCAAAGGCATTTCTATGAACATAGGCAAACCAGATCAATATAGTATGTACGTTGAGCATCTACTAGGTGTCATTCACTGTGCTACACGCTGGGGGTGCTAGGATGAAAAGCACACGGTGGCTGCCCTTGAGGAGTTTATACTTTCATAAACAAGCAATGTAATTTTATGTAGTAAGAACTAGTGTGAAGTTTCCAATTTGCAATGTTCAGTAACACAAAGAAAGAAGTGGTTAATCTGCCCAGCATCACAGTGAGGTGAGGGTCAGGGGTCAGGAAAGATTTCACAGAGAATGGAGTATTTGAATTGGGTCCTGAGGTTCCCTGACAGATGGAAAGGTAGGGGAGGAAACTCCAGGTGGGGAACAGCATGTGCAAAGTCAGAGAAGACAGAAAGTGCAAGCCTCAAAGAGTAGGATGACCTGGGGAAGACTGTCTTAATGGGTTTCGGCAAATCTTCAGAAGGCTCACATGTGAACTGGTAAAGTGATGTGGCAAATGATCAGAAAGCTCCCCTGTTACTCTGAAGGGCGTGCCCAACAGGACTTAACTCACGGAGTGGACATGGGGCATGGGAGCAAGAGAGGTCAAAGGTGAGTTGGCTTGCTTCCAGCCTGCACATCTGAGAGAGGACTGGGTCTCTCTCTCAGATGGGGAGGACTGGGGAACGAGCAGCTTGTGTGGGGATTCCTGAGCCCTGCCTGTGCACCCTCACCGGGACCACTGCCCAGCATTTCCTGGGTGACATGGGTGCTAAGAGCGGAAGTGGCGTCTTCCTCCCACCCGGAAGTTTTCAGGAAAGGAGAAGAATACGGCTTCTAGGACTAGATAGAATCAGTGGCCACGGCCTTGTCAGAGCCTCACCAGTGATACTATTTTTAGCCTGTTTATTACCAGCAGAATTTGTGAGATCCAGCTCTCTCTCTTCAAGCACAAGAACCTTGCTGAGTTTTATCTGGCAATAAAAACTGTTCACTTTCATATGTTCTGTTTTACCAGAAAAGTAATTTAAAATCATTTCCCCAATGAATACAGACAAAAAGAAACTAATGGATATTTTTAAATTAATGGACTTCTCAAATCCTAGCTGTAGAACTGCTTTAGTTATCTATAAGTTTTGTTACAAGTATATACATTTTTAAATTTTATCCCCTTTATTTATTTCCAACTGTTTTCAATTTATTCCTCCATTATGGATAAATAAATCAGGATCTGCATTACAGACAACAGGCATCATATATTAAATAGGCATTAAATAAAAATATATTGCATGAAAATAGGATTTTTTGCCTAGTTTTCCGTTGATAGCTTTTTTGAACTTAAATTCACGTTGTGGCCGAGTGTAAGAACATTTTTAAAGACTTGATAATAGCTGGTTTAGGGTGATTAAAATGTCAGGAAAAGTGATATAAATAAAAATGAATTTCATCTTTTAAAATTCTTCCCCATGTTACAGACCATTCCAAGTCATAAACCAAATAAAAGTAAAAGTGCAAACATTTTCTTTCTTACTTCAAAGGGGAGCTCAGTTAATTCTAGATTTCCAGAACAATCCAGTTTCTCTAGATTTTCACAGTCTCCCAGTTCTGGAGGAATACTCTTCAGATGGTTGAAATGCACATTGAGTTCCTTCAGGTTCTTCAAACGACCTGTCATCAGAAAAAAACAACATGCATGGTGTACGTCCATTAAGGTCTTTTAAGGACAAAAAGCAAAACGAAGATGTAAAACATTTGTATAAATGATGGTCGGAAAGGCATTAAACATAATTCTGTGTTTGTTTTTTAAGCACTCTGATTGAATGTCTGCTCATCTTTTATCCTGAGCATTTTGGTCCTTGCAGAACATTTTTTGCTTTTTCTTTATCTGTTTAACCCTTTGTGAAACTACAGGCTAGGTGAGTGTGGGGGATTTGTCCCTATGTAGACTAGGTCAGAGGCCAGCACCCACAGAGCACAACAAACCCCTTTGAAATCACATGATGAATGAAGTAACAGGCAATGGCTTTGAAATGGTCCAGTTCCTAGGAAGCACAGTGACAAGCTATGGCCTATCAGTGGACTCTAATGGGAAGTGAGCTAGGTGCTGAAATACACACAAACCTCTACGTACGTGCTAAATGACTCAAACAAGGAGTCATCGTTTATAGGCTGCATGTAATTCATTTATCTTTGGCTTCAGATTTGCATTTACTAATTATGATGTATCGTGCTTCCTAAAAAATATGCTTTAAAAAAGCCTAAGTCCATTTCACAGGCAGGAAGCGAACATACTATCAGGCAACAACTGGATTGATGGAGAAACACTGAATCCCAATTCTGTATTGACTGAATAAATACATGACCAATTCCAAACCAGAAACTAGCACAAGAGTAAATATATTTAATATTCCAAAAATCATGTCATGCATGTTCTAAGGCATTGAATACCTTAACATTCTTAACCTAATTTTAAAAATTAGAAAACCAAAATTATTGTTTCCTTTTGCGGAGCAGGCACTCAAAATACAAATTTCCTGACATTTTATAAATGAGAATGGGAAACATACAAAGACAGTATATTGGAGGCAGGGCCACTTCTGAGTCAACTTTGGTGGTCTCACTGTTAGAAGATAATGGTGATGCTGTGGAAATCAGTGGCCCCTCTAACTTACTCACCTGGTATACACTGCAACCTTACAGTCAGCTATTTGTGTCAAAATAGCAGGATGGATATGGGGGCTGATAAAAAATAAGGAAAGACTGCTTTTCTGGGGAGGACTGGAGAGCATGTGATCAGACTAATGATCGCCACAGCCCCAGCTTCTGTAAGACAGTATGTTGCACAGTCCTTCTTTAAATAAGGAAAGTAGAAGATTGGCATAGATGGTGTGAATGTTCTAAGCTGTCTAGTTTCCAGACACAGGAGAGTAAACTTATCTATTAAAGAGTTACCTGATCTGGTTGATGGAGGCATTTGCATTAGGGACACATTTATACCAACTGTATATGCATTTGTTTATCATGAGGGGATGCAAAGAGAAGATGAGGTAACCGGAGAGAAAGCTGTATATGAGCTCCTTCTAGCTATAGCTCAAAGAAAAAGTAACTTTCCTAGCTCAAAGGAAAAGCAATAGCTTTAGAAAGTCTGTCTCAAATATAACATTTTAATAATATACAGACAATAAGAAATTATATATGTTTGTATTCAAATTGTTGTTCTCCATGCCACTTATTTCCACAATGCCTGATCTCATTATTGAAACACTACTTTTTCTTTCTCAACATCCTGGTAAGAACTTGGCATTATTCATTTGAGATGGGCTCAATTGTCTCCATCAGATGTGGTGAACAGCATCATCTTCAAGCACCATGAGCTTGAGGTTCTTGAGAAAACAGTCTTTCGGTGTGACAAGGGTCCCACGACACAAAAACTAAAATAAAACTTTTAAGGCACTGCTATGGTCTGAAAATTTGTATGTTGAAATCCTAATGCCCAAAGGTGATGTTGTTAGTAGGTGGGGTCTCTGGGAGGTAATCAGGTTTGGATAAAGTCATGAGGATGGAGTCCCCATGATGGGATTCATGCTCTTGTAAAAAGATCCCACAGAGCTCCCTGGCCCCTTCCACCATGTGAGGATTCACCGAGAAGTCTGCAACCCAGAAAAAGGCCCTCAGCCCACCATGCTGGCACCCTGATCTTGTACTCCAGAACTGCGAGCAATAAATTTATTTTGTTTATGAACCACCCAGTCTGTGGTATTTTTTTTAAAGCAGACTGAACAGACTAAGACAGGTGTCATAGCTCCAGCACGTTATATTTCTAAATAGCTAATGAGTCCATCCCTTCCTAGAATGTTCCAGGATCTTTTCCAACTGAAATGAAATCTCCCTACTTATAGCCCATTCTCCCAAGGCCCTCAGACCTAATTTCCAGAGAGGGGAATATAGGCCAACTGAGGCACAATTTGTTGTCCAGAGGCTTCTTGTTCCTAGAGCCCAAGGAATACCTTAAGGAATTTACATACTTTAAATTATTTGAGTAAACATTATGAAATGATTTCAATAATTAGCTATTTTAAACCCATTTAACAATACTTTCTCAGGAGTTCCACAAAGGAGTTAACAGGACCACCCACTGCCATGCTTAATTCCTTGATGTCAAATGTCAGAAATAATTGTCCTGATAATGAGAAAAAGAACACTCCATTTGGTGACCACTTTCCCTGCACCCCCTCTGCTCAGCCAATGCTCTGTAGTTCTCTAAGACAGCACTGTAAGAGATCCAACTCCACCTCCTTTACAAAATATAGCCATTCAACAGAAAAGAGCTCAAAACTCTTCATTCCCATGGTCCTCTTTCTTGACTATCTCATCCTGTAGCTGAGTTTTTTTAAAATATTTGCCCAAGTTACTCAAAGTCAGACTAGAATCGTACCTTCAGAGTCTCAGACCTAGTATCCAATTACTTAGTTTAAATTTAAAATATTTGAAGAACAGGTTAAATAAATCATGCCATAATCATCACTTAGCCATTAGGGAGAATGACGAAAGTTTGGATATTCTAATATTGAAAAATAACGTTTATGTAAAGACAACAATAGAGTGGTGGTGGGATGAATTGGGAGATTGGGATTGACATATATACACTCATATGTATAAAATAGATAACTAATCAGAACCTGCTGTATAAATTAATTAATTAAGTAAAATTTTTAAAAAACTTAAGAGACGATGATGATGATGATGATGGAGGTGGCTAGCAAGTGTTGGGGGTTTATCTGTTCTAAATGCTTTCTTTGTATTAACTATTTAATCCCTACAATAACCTTGTGAAGTAGGTACGATTATTATCCCCATTTTACAGATAGGGAGACTGAAAACCAATGAGTGACCTGCCTAAGGTGACCTGCCGGTAAGTGAAAGACCCAGGCAGCCTGACCCTAGAGTCCACCCCCACCTTCATGGTATGATAAGGGGAAACAAGGCTTAGGCTGGAGAACATGCTGTAAGCCCTTGTATGTAAATATGTTTAGCGTGCATATATTTTAACATATGTGTATATAAATATTTTTAACATGCATATACATTTTAACACATATTTATAAATAGATATGGCTACAATGTAGATATCTAGAAGAACATGGGTTGTGTGTACAATTTTGATACCCAGGAAACTGTTAACAATCCTTACTGAGAGAGTTGACTTTACATTTTATTCCTTTCTAGAATATTTAATTATTTTGCCCTGCTCATGACTGAGGTTTATGGGGATGATATGTCTCCAAGAATTAGAAGAATCATAACAACTATATGCCCAGCACAACTATGTGCCTCACACACAAGACAAAGAGAAACAGTGATGATGATCGCCATGGACTTCACTTACAGTGAAGCAAGTGAACAACAAAGTGATTGAAAATAATAGAACCTTGATCAAATTAATACAATAAGCTAAACTAAACTTATAAATGGACTAATATGTGGGAACAATATACTGTTATCTTATGTTTACAATAAATATATTATTGCATGTTTGCATTTCTAAAACTCAAAGGAAGAAAAAACAAAAAGTTTCTAAACACAGCACCGCTCACTCATGAGACTTGTTTCTGAGAAACTGGCAGAGATGTCAGTACTGCTGAGTTACACAGGTGAGACACTGGCATCAACATCCAGAGGGGACGCCACGAACCAGCAGCTCTGGGAACACCCAAAACAGCCCGGCCCAGCAACTTCCTGCGGCAGCAGGAGCTGGAAGAATTCTCAGTATTGCCTGCTTCCCAGACAAGGGGCCTGAAGGCTCCAGCTAAGCAACATACCAATTTCAGCTGGAAGACAGGAGATTTGATTTTTTGGCAGATCCAGAATCCTCATGGCTTGAAACAGCTCGATATACTTAGGAACGAGCTGAATCAGGGTGTTGCTTATGTGCCATTCTTTCAGGTGCGTCTGCTCCTTCAAGGAATCCGGGAGCTCCTGGAATAGAATGGATCCCATCGATCAGAACTAGCTCCTCCGTATGTCGGAGTTCAGAGGCAGAGCACACAGAGCCAAGGAAAATGTGCATTTATTTCAGAAACAAGAGGGGAGAGAGCATGGGTGAGAGCTTAACTGCCAGCTCTATAGCCATTCCAAAAAAGAAAGCAAGATACTGCCGATGTCATTAATTTCACACTAGCAGATTAGCCAAAATTCAAAGGGCCATGAATTCATGATTCTATTAAAGTCAAATGCCGAGTGAACACTGACAACCAGGCTCCCACCCAAAGCTACACATGTATTAAATAAAATCTGGCCACGTCTTAGATTTTAAAATGTGTGCTGCATTTCCCTTCCTCTGTACTAATCGCTTTTTTTTTTTTCCAGCAGACATCTTTTTTTTTTTATTGAAGTGTAGTTAATCTACAATGTTGTGTTAGTTTCAGGTGTATGGCAAAGTGATTCAGTTATACATATATACATAAAAGAATATATATATTCCTTTTCATATTCCTTTCCATTATAGTTTATTATAAGATATTTAATACAGTTCCCTGTGCTATACAGTAGGACCTTGTTGTTTATCTATTTTATATATAGTAGTTTGTATCCAGCAGACATCTTTTGAGCCATGTTATGTCCAGGCAGACTCATGTTTGGCACTAGAGATACAAGAAGGAATCAGGCAGCTCTGAAACGAATCGCTTTTTAAAATATTTGATAAACACCTAATACTTGCTATGCCAAATTCCTAAATGTTTTTATGAGTCTTTAACAGGGAAAG